AGGTGCATTTACAATGCAGGCTGGAGGAAAAGCTTCTACTGTGAACTACCTGACAGGTTTTGAGCTAGCCCAGGATTTGCTTTTCATTCTATAAGAAACCATATGAGTGTTAAGAAGCAAGCCCAATGGTTCTCTTTGTGGAACATAGAAAAAGAAAAAGAAAAAGTGTGTGGCACCAGGTGCTTATCTGAAAGGGAGGGCTCAGGGTGGTTCCATGAAGTAAAGGAAACACAGGTTGTCTGGCTAAAAAGATATAGGCAGAAAGGAGGTGACTGAAATGTAGGGCATTGAAAATAAAACATTCCCAAAAGTCATTTTCCAGCAGCTACAACGAGCACTGATTTTGTTTCATTTGTATTTCGCAGCATTTTTCAGTGTAAATCTAATAGAACAGAGTACATAGACAAAGTTCACGTACTCTGGGTCCTTGTGCTTCCATTGCTGGAGTTCCAACATTCTAGTTAGCGCAAAGTCATTTTATAAAGTGAAAAGGCACTGCCGCTCTCTGAGCTGGACCCCATTTCTCCAAAACATTAAGTCTGTTTCCCTTGAAGCACTTTGAGCTTCTGTAATACTTCCACGTGAAGCTGCTGCTGTCATCAAGAAGGCATTCCCCTGAACCTGTTACAAATGGGAAGATTCTTGTTGGTCTAAGACTACGTAACTCTGACTTTCTGGTTCTCCACCTCACCTGCAGGTGGATTACCCCCATATTCACAGTATCAGAGCATAGTTGAGGTTGGAAAGGACCTTTAGAGATCATCTAGTCCAACTCCCCTGCTCAAGCAGCGTCACCTAGAGCAGGCTGCCCAGAACCCTGTCCAGACAGCTTCTGAATAGCTCCAAGGATGGAGACTCTACAACCTCTCTGGGCAATTTGTTCCACTGCTCAGACATCCTCACAGTAAAAAAAGTTTTTTCTTAGATTCAGACGGACCTTCCTGTGTTTCAGTTTGTGCCTGTTGCCGCTCATCCTGTCGCTGGGCACCACTGAAGAGTCTAGCCCCATCCTATTTATTCTCTTCCTTTAGATATTTATACACATTGATAAGATCCCCTCACAGCCTTCTCCAGGCTGAACAGTCCCAGCTCTCTCAGCCTTTCTTCCTAGGAGAGATGCTCCATCATCTCAGTAGCCCTTCACTGGACTCGCTCCAGTAGCCCCGGATCTCTCTGGCACTGGGAGCCCAGCACTGGACACAGCCCTGCGGAGGCGGCTCGCCTCCCTTTCTGCCAGACAGCAGATTTTCTGCCCATGCAATGGCAATATGAGCACGATGACTCTGTCCTATAGTGCCATCTTGTGATGCCTATGAAATGCAGGCTTCCTGTATTGCTAATTTCCTGTATTGCTAATTTTGTATTATGGGATGGGCAATGTTATTGATTTCCTTGCTGTTTGGTTGTGTATGTAGTATAAAATAGATGACAGTGTAAGAACTTCCACATTAGGGTAAATTTCAGCAATTACCATCAGCTACAAAGACACTAGGATAGGTATGAAGACACCAGAGATGAATGCTAAAAGTAAACATTACATTTCCCCAACCAGCTCAAGAGGTTAAGTTATCTACCTTGCAATTTTTTCATCTCATCAATAGACTGTTTTAGTTCTGTTTCTCAAAAAAGTTGTAAAATAAATGCTAAGGATTTATTCATAGTGTTTGTACAGTTTAGGCTAAAGAGAGAGAAAGTTTGCATTTCTGGAAAAATGTATATTTGTTAATATATTGCCTTGTACTTTTGAATACTAAATTATCTTTTAATGTAGAGCTTCTGTAATAAATTACCAGGTGTTTTATTATAAGCTGATCTTCTATTTGCTATATGAGCATAGTGAAACCTTAAGTAAACACTTACTGGACTCCTGTTAAAATGCCAAGTGCGCTCAGATCTTTATGCAACAAAGGTAACGCTTACCCAGGAGAGTTTATAATCTGAAGAACTGGAAGAGCTAAAACAAGATCCCTGTTAAAATCTTAATTTCCTTTTCTTGCTGCACGCTTAAATAGTTAATTAGGAGATTCATTCCATGTAGGAGAAACATTACAGGCTTGTACAGGCTGTACAGCTTTTGCCATCCACCTCTGCCCTTCACTTTTCCTTCAAGGAGTCCAATACATACAAAAATGCTATTAGAGAAAACACGCTCACTCTTCCCCGATAACTCCTCATTACTCGCTGCTTTCTGCAGAGCTAGTAATTTGTTGAGGGTAAGAGTTGTCAAAGCAACATTTCCAGCCAGAGTTGTATGGCTGCCAAGTCTCACTTGTGCAGAGAGAGTTTGGATGCGTCGTCAGAAACGTCTCTCCTCCTGCCTGGGATGGGGATTTTCTCTCTTCCAGCCACAGTTAATGTGGTTTAGTTCAGAAACTGAAATGTTGAATTTCAAACAAATTTGCAGGGAGAGAAGCATCAGTATCCCACGTTTCTGACCTCCTTGAGACTATATCTTCACTTCAAAGGAACAACCTCAGCTACATATGCACATGGCAAGGGACAGGCACCGGTCCTAGGTAAATCCTGTGAAGCACTGAACAGGAATCATCTCCTACTCCTTTTCCTAATTCTCACTTCAAAGCAGGAGCATGGAAGCCCTTGTAAGTGTCTTATCTGCTCCTAATGCTCCTTGCAGCTGGCTGCTTTCACAGCAGCACTTTGGGTAGGTGGCTGTCTGACCCTCTGACTCGGAGCTACATCACAGAGGACGACACTGTTTTCCACATAATTGCAATACGAAGCCATAGTAACCTTATCAAGAAACCTTTTATCAGTGAAAAAAACCCAAGAAACTGTCTTCTTGCTTCAAGCTTATTTTCATCAGGCAGTGGGAATTCAGCACACAATGCAACAGTCTAATCTCAGCCAGTCGAGGTGTTTGTGAGCTTCAGAAAGAATCGGTAGCCCTCACGCCATTGAGTGAGTTAAAGGCCCCAGGACTTCACAACGAAGGACCTCAGCTCTGCACAGAGAGCGTCTTGTCACCACTGCTGTGAAACTCCAGCTGGGATGCATAAGCTGAACTCCTAATTGAGTTAGGAGAACTCAAGCACCTGTAAAATTTTAGGCAGAGATCAGAGATTCCTTTTCCTTGGAGAAGCCAGTTGGAGTTTGTTGATTTCTGATCACCGAATGCTTAACTGTGAACAGGAGAGGTTAGAGGAGTTCTTAGACAAATTCAGCAGGCCTGCCCCACACTTGCTCCCTCAGAGAAAGGAGCTCTTTTCTCTTCCCTCTATCCTTTTAAAAAAGGAGTGCAAATAAGTCAGATGTACCAGGAGTCTCGAGGGGAACATTTTTCAGGGTTTTCCAGTAGGGACTGCTGAGGAGTTACCTTTACAGTGTCCCAGCAAAACAAGGTGAAGAGAAGCAATAGACATTACCTTCTTTTCAAGGAGGTCAGGGCTTTAGGAATTCTTGATCCTGCCCCTCCCCCCCTTTTTTTCCATTTTGACTTCTGTCCCATATCATTATTTCTTATTATCTAATTAGAGAAACTAAATGGAGCTCATAACACACATGAGATATTTCCTAAAATTACCCCCAAAGGAGGTGATTCAGGAATGTCAAGGCCGTTTACTGGCAGGATACCCACTTCATTCTCAGGTGTTGCCTTTTTGAACTCTTAGCACTTCTTCATCATTTGCCTTTGCAAGAGCGTCCTCGACATAAAAAGCTAGGGACTCCTGCCTTACTCATAGTCTGGAGCTTTTATGGGAGGGGGGAAGTATGGAAGCTTATTGGAGTTTGTTCTTGTTAAATAAGTTTTTGCAGGAGCAGGTTCTTCCCATGAGCTTTCATGCTTTGCAGGATCTGTTC